AAAATGAACTGTCTTGGTCCTTCCACGCTTTTTGGTGACGGCTTCGTACATCCGCTTGACTTCCTTCTTTCCCTTCTCCACCACACGCCCAACCGCTTGCCGGCCCTTGCCACCAGTGGATTTGGGAACTTTCCCCACCGCCGGCCCCACCCCTTTCCGGCCAGTGCCGCTATCAGGGCCCATAGCTTGCGAACTGCACCAGAGACTGGAGATAGAAAGCAGAGATTCACAACGACACACACAGAGGGAAAGAAAGCATTGGCAGCATCAATTCGCACGAAGGAACAACAGTGGGTATAAAAGGGACGGGGAGAATGTAAAAGCGCTTGCTTGCTAATCCAACGGACACATTAGGTGTTATCTTGACATCGTCAAATCGCACTATTCCCGTCATATGAATCGCACTACTCCCGATCAATTTCTCCCAGTTGGGAATATTGCCGTCGGTCCGGCGGTGAATAGGAACATGTGAGTTTCATTTCCCCCGGAAGGCCTTGGTTGCCGATGCAAAGATCCGATCTCACATGGATCAGGGTCAGATTGAATTGAACTCTGTAGCTTTTTGATCAGAATTAAGCTTTTGATGCCGAGGAAGTACTCGGTTCCCCGCAGAGTCAATGTTGCAAAGCTGAAATGTCCTTTTGAATTTCTGCTGTTGCATTGTGCCGGCCACATAATACACTGCACCCATTGTGGCATCCTTCATTAACACACTCTGCATTGTCCGCCCCATGGCTAGCGAAGCAGTAACACCGGTGTGTCAACCTTTGGGCCTCAATATCGTGCTACTAGAACCACATGAATCATCATTGATTGCTGGTGTTTTTGTATTTTTACCTAAAGTGCATCTTCATTGCAGGTCTGCACAAGTGAGGGAAAGCATTCAAGTGCTGCTCATATTCTGCCTAGAGCATGCATATATACGCATCAATTTGTTCCATGCCATGTAGTGCACAAACTCATAAAGTCATTATCCTTGATGTGCACACACATATAGCCCAACACATATATAGTCACAACATTGTGCCAAAAGTTTCAAATCTCATTGCAAGTAAATTTCCCCCATTGTGGTCTGCAAGTTTTGTACACATGAATTTACACAGCGGCTCGACAAAGTAGACGATGTTGCCATAGTCTGGGTGGGGAACACTTGTGCATCTGTGATAATCAAGTTTTACATCATTCTTTAAACATGCCCTACTTGCCACTGACACTCATGGAGTCCAATGAAATTCCATTATGCTTATGTGTGGGTAGGTGGTAGTGCACATGGTGGCCTACACCAAAGGCCAATCTGTGTGTTAAAACCACTTGGCCACAAACATTAGGAATGTAAATGATGAATGTAATGAAGAGACAACAATAACACCATGATAAAAATGATGATACCACAATAACATCTGCCTAAATCCTCTGAGCTCTTCCAGGGAGCAAAACTATCGCTGGGCCCAGCTCCACCCAGTAGCAATCTAAGCCATCCGCCCGGCCCATCCACCCTCATCAATGCTACTTGCTCACTGTTGGATGCCAGTGCGTCTTCTGACAACCGTGCCATAAATGCGGAAAAATAGTAGAAATACTGGAATTTTTGACAGAGAGAAGTGGCATCTCCACCACTTTCTCTGTTTGCTCCTTGCAGCCTCCGACGTCGGAGTAGGTAACATCGGACTTTTCCCTGAATTGCATCACAGTGACAGAGGCATTGATCTTGGGAGGTAGGGGTATCTGGATCTGATATAGGCCAGCTGACCCAACCGTCATTATCAATGCTACTTGCTCACTGTTGGACACCAGTGCCTCTTCTGAGTCCGACCCCAGGACGTGAATGCCGGCAGAAAATGGGGTGGGCGGCCGACGGCCTCTGCATGTGGCCTATAGGCGGTCCGAAAAGCAAGACGCCTTTTAGAGGGTCGATACCCAGCTTCACAAAACGTTCCGGAGAGAGAAGTGGCGTCTCCACCATTTCATGCAGCTTCTCTATCTGCTCCTTGCAGCCGCCGGCATCCTCGGGTGTTTGACCCATCTGCTGACCGGACATCCTTGGGGGTCATGTCCTGCACCATGGGCCCAGCTTCACAAAATGTTTGGTGGAGAGAAGTGGCCTGCTCCATCATCAAACCGGGCACCACCAATGGCATCAACTTCATCGAAAAAGATGATGCACGCCTTCTTACTACGTGCCATCTCAAACAGCTCCCGAACCATCCTGGCACCCTCTCCTACATATTTCCGGGCAAGCTCAGAGCCAATGACACGGATAAAGGTGGCGTCTGTTCGGTTTGCTACAGTGCGATGGCAATCATCGAAAAAGATGATG